TGGTCGACAGTGTGCCAATTCGGACGCATTCCATATGAGATCCAGATGTATCGAGAGAAAGGCGACATCACTCAGAACAGGATGCTCCTTTGGTGGGTTTATGAGATTTGGACCCGGGGACTGCGCCACGTAATTCCCTGCATCAGCTTTGTTGCCGCATGCAGCGTGGCCGCCTTGCAAATTGCACATCATCAGCACAAAATTGGTGATTTTGTGGTGTTAATCACATACTGGGCGCAACTCACTGGACCGCTCTCTTCTTTGGCAAGCGAATTATCAAGAGTAGCCGAAAAGCTGGTTAACGCCGAGAAGCTGGTGGCGATACTGGAAAAGAAGCCACGCATCCAGGACTTGCCAGATGCTAAACCCTTTGTGTTTCTGGACGGCGCCGTTCAATTTGAGAATGTTTCGTTCTCTTACGATGGCAAACGACAAGTGACAAAGGGTGTTACCTTCCGGGCGGCACCAGGCCAGACTGTAGCATTAGTTGGACAGACGGGAGGTGGCAAGAGTACCATTTTGAAACTCCTTTTCCGATTCTACGATGTGGACCAAGGCCGCATCTTAATTGATGGCCAAGACATCCGCCACATTAAGATGGAAAGCTTCCGCAAACACATCGCCATGGTTCCCCAGAATCCGGTCGTATTCAACAAGTCGGTGCTTGAAAATGTCAGATACCCTGATATTGACTGTACCGTCGAAGAGGCTATTGAGGCCTGTAAAGCAGCAGCACTACATGACAAGATTATGTCGTTTACGCATGGCTATCAGGAAAAGGTGGGCGAGCGCGGCACAAAACTCTCGGGTGGCGAGCTCCAGCGACTCGCAATTGCGCGAGCGATCCTCAAAAAGGCGGACATTCTACTCCTGGATGAAGCCACCAGCAGCGTCGACAGTCTCACCGAGAAGAAGATTCAAAGCAGTATCCGCCAACTCTGTGCAGGCAAGACTGCATTTGTGATTGCACACCGTCTGTCTACAGTTCTGCACGCTGACCATATCCTTGTCATTCGCGATGGCGAGATTGTCGAGAATGGCACGCATGAAGCTCTGATCAAACAGGATGGTGCTTACAGTGAGCTCTGGCGTAGCCAACTTCGCCTGCAGGCCGAGGAGTGTGAATCTAAATCCCGGTCTCGCTCCCCAGAAAGACCGCGTGCACCGGTCCTCATCAACGATCTAATTCCCGGTGGGCAAGGGACCCCAACCCTGGTCGAGAGTATGGGCAGAGAAAGCAAAGACGGGGACGCAGAGCAACAAGAAACTAGATCCACCAACGACACATCAAGCATCCAGGAACAACAGCATCGAAGCCATCAGGCATCACATACTGCTGTTGACGCGCGAGGTAGGACGAACACCCAAAGACTTGCCCATGTTTTAGGTAGGAAACTGTCGCGCTCAAAGTCGCCAGGGAAAAGCGGATCGTCAGAGTCAGTTCTGAACCCTGACGCTCGAACGTTCAGGCCTCGACGATTCCAAGTTGGCAACCGCAGCACAAGTTTCTCAGTTGGAGAGATGTCGGTTGCGAGAGAAAGTCATTTGGGGAATTCTGTCAACGGGCACCCAATACAAGACAGACTCGAGACGCTTTCCAACCAGGAGAATAATTTCAAAGGGACTGTAGCAAAAGAAATTCACAATTCGCTAGCCATCGTTTCGGAACCGCGCTCACCCTTGGTTTTCCATTTGAAGCGAAAGTGGCCGGGACAAGGTCGCGAGGCCTTGGAAAGTAGTGAAAAACATTCTATCGATAGTACAGGAGAGGCACACCCGGAGAGCGACGGTGCCAAACTAGAAATCAGATCACTTCCAGGAAACGCCCGCCGGCGGTTGACTGCCAGCGAGCCTTTTCCACAGAATATCGATGTCGAGGAAGATTCGGACAACTCGTCAGAAGATGCGAATGTGCTGCAATCGGCGAAATATTCGAGGTTACCAAAGATTTCATGCAGGAGGACTGTATCAGCGGTGAATAGAAAGACGGGACAGTCCAATGAAGAGGAAGGATCAAAAGGTTTTGAAGCTGGAGCATCAGTTAACACGGCAGCAACGAGCCCGGCTATTCGCACTCCAAGATCGCACCTGAAGGTTCCTGCCAACTCCCCAGCATAGGAGGAGAACGACGGCTCTGCATCCTAATGAGATGAGCACTTTGCGACATCAAATTGGACGACAGCATTTTTTTAGACTATTGAGAACATTGAGCACGCTACCATGACGACGACGAAGAGCAGGGTTTCATCATCCACCTTTGCGAAATGAAGCATGGAATCCTTGTCGGGCCTTTTACAATGAACATGCTGTCCTTACGATGATGGATATTTCCACCCGGTAGCTACTATCCAAACAGTCAATTAGGCAGCAATAGGCGTGTGTTGATACATGATTTGACGCCCTTTGGCAAATCGGCATTGTGCATGCGTGCAGGGAATGTCCCACTCAGTATTAAGTGACATAGCCATTTCAACTCTCTCCAACTCGATGGTTTCCACTTCGCATTGTCGCCCGGTTCCGCAACGACCAACGACTTGTGGTAATATATACTCGTCCTTTCAATTCCTAGCTGTGAAACATCCTCAGCGATGATGTCCATCTCTGCCAACGGCCAAGGCATGAGCAATACGGAAATTCTGGAGCTCGTTGGATCCGATGGCACTCAGAGCCACGTCTTCGAGGAATCGTCACTCAGCCAACTGGAGGCCAACCCACCGCAAGATGCTGTCTCTGCTGAAGATGTACCTCCAAATGGTGGTTATGGCTGGGTTTGCACAGCTTGTGTCTTCCTGATCAATGCCCATACCTGGGGACTGAACAGTGTAAGCACCATGAAACGAACGAACTGATACAAAAAAGCTCATTTGAGACAGGCATGGGGTATTTTCCTAGCCCACTACCTCAGTGATCCTGCTTTCCAACAGGCGTCACATCTCGAGTACGCCTTGATCGGCGGTCTCTCAATCTCCCAGTCTCTCTTAAGTGCGCCTGTTGTGAACATCTCCACGAGACACTTAGGCATGAGGATCACTCTTCTCATCGGCACCGTCTTGGTCTTCGTTGCCCTCTTCGGTGCTTCATATGCAACCGAGATATGGCATCTGTTCTTGACACAAGGCGTTTGTTTCGGATGGGCCATGGGCCTTCTCTACATCCCGGCTACTGCTGTTCTCCCCCAATGGTTTTCGACGCGCCGGAGCCTCGCCATGGGAATTGCATCCTCGGGAGCTGGTCTTGGGGGGCTGGCGTACAATCTCGCGGCAGGTGGCATCGTCCAGAGCTTGGGAATGAATTGGGCTTACCGCATTTTGGCATTCTGCGGGCTTGCTGTCAACGGAGCATGCTCGCTCCTGCTCAAAGACCGCAACAAGGCCGTTCAACCTTTGCAAAATGCTTTCAACTATCGTGAATACGGCCACATTGAGGTTATCCTGGTCGTCATCTGGGGAGTGCTTACTGAACTGGGTTATATTGTCTTGCTCTACTCTCTACCCAACTACGCGACTTCTATCGGTCTCACAGCTGGACAAGGATCAGTTGTCGGCGCTGTTCTCAACCTTGGTCTTGGAGTCGGCAGACCGGTGATTGGATACTACTCGGATGCCTTTGGCCGTATCAATATGGCAGCGATTATGACCGCGCTCTGCGGAGTTCTCTGCCTCGCCTTGTGGGTGCCGGCGAAATCATACGGCGTCCTCATAGCCTTCGCTCTGACATCAGGATGCGTCTGCGGCATCTTCTGGAACACTGTCACACCAGTGACTGCCGAAGTGGTAGGGCTCAAACGACTGCCTTCTTCCTTTGGCGTCATTTGTCTGTCATTGGTTGTGCCGACGACTTTCGCCGAACCGATTGCCCTTGAAATGGTCAGTGCTTCTGGATACCTCAGCTCGCAGATCTTTGTGGGCTGTATGTTCCTCCTCGCTGCGGCAAGTACGTGGGTCCTTCGATCGTGGAAGATCAATCAGGTCGAGTTGAAAGCCGCAAGGGAACAAGGGATCAGCAGCCCCGGTGCTGCCTCACAGACCAGGATGGACCATGGATATTGGCTGACACCACAAAGACTGCTCTGGCTGGGCAGAGTATGAAAACGAGAATCCCGTGGGAATTGTTGGGCAGCGCAAGGACCAAGGTTCAATTGTTTCAGACTGTGTCAACTCTGCGTGAAAACCTTCAGGTCTCATTATAGCCTGATTACCTCTGCCCAAAACAAGCTGCTGCGCCGTCATCTGTTACCGCCTCTTTCGACCTTGCACCATCACGTTCCAGCCGTGTCTTGAAGAGGTTGAATGCATGTCTCAGGCAGACAATGCCCCCAGCAACCATGTCAAGAACAGCTGAAAAAAAAAGGCTGCAAAGAAGGCTCCAAAGTCGTAAGATTTGACAAGGTGACCTTCTGGATCAGTCTCCTGGAGTACCAGATGTCAAATTGCCCGACAATGCCCTGACAAGCCACCAGCGTCATGTGCTCGGATGCGAACGAAGGCGCTCCTCCCCAGGATGTGACAACGACAACGAAGCGGCGTACTACAAAAAGATCTTTATACGCTGCGGTTCGAATGGCTGAGGCAGCCATGTGTAAGGACCTTCTGTTCGCATATATCAACCCTCTGCTCCTCCACACTTACCTTGCCAGCACACAGCTTCAATCCACACAGCAAATCTGATATCAAATTAGGAAATGCCAATCAGCAATCATCATGGTACAGCTCCCCAAACCAGCCTCTTTTCGGGGTCTCATGCTACTTGTTGCCGCATACGATCTTCTTCTTACAAGCGCAACGATCCTTCCGTGGATGGCCACGATTTTTGCTCTGCCAGACTGCTTATGGCTCTGGGTTTGGAGCTCGCGTGATCATTTTCACGAGCGCTGCTTGCTCTCCCTCGGACTCAACTTTGCTCTGTGGCTCTGTGACACCACGGAAAGCGGCGACTTGCTTTCCTGGGCCAGGCTACGTCCTCACCTTCATTGTCTCACAGTCCCGGTACTTTGGAATGCTATGGCTCTACTCTGCCTGCAAGGCGAATATTTTGTCTCAACCGTGCCGGGCGTCATCGTTGCTCTCTCCTTGTCTGACCAGAAGGCGTCTGTTTTCTTGTACCATGTTATGCTAGCAGAAGAGTTCCTTCTAGAGGTCTTCCAACTATACTTGTACACAAACGCCGCAGTTTGGATAGCCTCCAAATGCTGCTGCAATGATGAGGAGGTCAGCAGGAGTCCCACGGCCGAAATCCCCCAACTTGAATACCAGGAATTGGCCTATGACGATGATGGTGACATTTTCGAATTGCCAGTCCCTGGTTCTTTCTCAGCCAGCAACCAGCAGACTGGCAATGATTCACAACATTGCCACGAAGACAGAATTTTCAGCAACGGTGGTGGTCAAGGAGGAGAGGATAAGAGGGAAAAGAAAGGGGAGAAAGACGAAGAGGATCTAGACACCGAGGACGAGAGTGAGGAGAGTAAAGACAACGTCTCGAAAATAGACAAGACCGGCGATAAGAGAGCGGTGACTTATTCAGAGAAGCCAGGAGGGAAAAAATCGAAGCAAAATGATACTAATACCGACGCCAACTACGACGCAGATACGGAATCCTCTTGTGACGGGTCCTCCGCACCTCGCCGTCGCAGCCGTTACCGTGAGCTGCACGCTTTTTACAATATCTCACTGCACCTGGCAGCGGTAGCTGTGACCAATATGCGCCGACACTGCGACCCAGGCACTCTAATCGGGACCACCACGGGCGCGGCACGACAGGAAAGGGAAAGAGAAAGAGAAAGAGAAAGAGAAAGAGAAAGAGAAAGAGAAAGAGAAAGAGAAAGAGAAAGAGAAAGAGAAAGAGAAAGAGAAAGAGAA